AGGGAGAAGGGCACATGGAATAAGTAGGTTAACCAGAACAGAATGAAAATAAAAACAGTATCTGTCTGCTCACTGCCCTCCTTACTCACCCACCTCCTGCTCCCTCCTACCAACAAAGTTATCAAAAGCCCAAACACTGCAGCTGCCCACACTGCAATTAACAGTCAGGATGTCAAGCAACACTGCTGACCATTGCTTTGGCTCCCCCAAAACAGCCAGATTCCTAGCAGATAAGGAATCGTGGAAACATGGCAACCTGCTCAGGTGCTGAGCACGAGTTGCACTGTGTGAACATGCAAGTCCAACGCAGACTGAGATTCACTTCAGCATTACAGCAGCTGGAGCAGGGTCCCTTATCCCAGGTATGTGCTCAAACATGAGAGATGAACTGGTATTGTGTGCTTATTTGCACCCTTTGTTACAAGTGAAATGGAGAGAAAGCACACACCAACATCAAAATATCAGAATGCTTTCTCCAACCCCCGCCCTTTCTTTTAAAAAAGGCAGGACTCCCATACAAGGTTATTTTGAACTGCCCACTCATTTCAGCCACAAAGTTGTCTTGTTGGAGACAGGTGTCCCAGGGAGCAGGGCAGCCACAGGCACAGCGTGGGGATACCTACACCTCGCCTGCCCCGCGTGCCCCAGGCTGCCCGTGCTCCTGGGAGGGCATCTCCTGTTGCCGCCCCGTGGCCAGCCTGCAAAACGGCACCGGCGCGATAGGAAGCCATTTCCAGCTCCTCCTTCCCTGCCCACTGCTCCGGGCACTTCCAGCAGCAGTAGGAGGGAAGCCAGGGGAAGCTTCCCCAAAGGCTGCTCCTCTCCCCAGGAGGCAAAACCTCTCACAGATTAACTAGAGGGTCACTACCCTTCCCTACCGAAGGTGCTACTCTCTGTAATTCCCCTGCTGGAAGCCAGCTCTCCCGAGAAGAGCTTGGAAATACTCTACAATTCACCTACTGCGGCAAATAGTAAAGTCTGGAGGATGAACAGTTACGTCTTCACTTTGTGCATCTCTCTCCACAACTGCGGACCTGGGTGTAGCTCAATGAGGACAAGCAGTGTGTCTTCATACGCGCTTCTACGTTACTAGTAACGTGAAACAACCCTGCTGCCTAGCCCTCCAAGCTCTTCACATTATTTGTCAGAAGTGTATTAGTGTCACACACAGGCAAAATCCATTCTTTTCACTGCAAGTTAGACTTTACCTTACTGCCATCATACCTTTCTTTTCCCAAACCACATCCTCCACACGGTCCCACTAAAGGGTTACGCGATCCAACTCTCCGACTGTAGTTACTCTTCAGAGAGTATTGCAGACCACACACACACTAAGAAAGTGTAAGTGTTTTTGTGGGGTTTTTTTTCCTTCTTTTTTGGGGGATGGGGGGGAAGGTGCAGAGGAGGTTTTTTTTTTCCCCCCCCTTCTTGCAAGTTAACTCACTGGTTCTTGCAAGCCACTTACTGGGGCACTGCATTTTAAAGGCATCGAAAGGAAGGCTGAAGGGACTTCGAGGAAATTGCAGTGTCGGAGGAACATGGAAGCATCAGGCAATAACAGAGGGGTCCTGCTTTCCTGCCTAGTGCCATAGTCACACAGAGGTATCAGGGTAAGAAAAAGACTGGGACAACAGGCAGAGTGCACAGAAGGAAACAGAAGCCACATGCAAGGGCAGAATGAGGGATTCCCAACTCAAACACAACTAGTACCAGGGAACAGAAACTGAAGCAACAGTAACAGCGAAGTACACGGGGGGCTCATCCTACCTAGATCCACACAAATGCTGTGACAACTATTGAAAATACTGTGGGTGGGGGGAAACCCAAGAGTCATGACGCCAAGTCTCTGAAGAAAGAACAGTGGAAAGGTACAGGACTGTAGCTCCAAGCAAGTTTTTGCTCAAGCTACTAGAGAGCCTCCAGGAGTTAACAACAGCCCTGAAGCGCAAGAAAACCGTGCTACAGCGCTGATTTTACTGGAAAGCCCAGGGGCTGTCAGAGGCAAGGGAGTATGCCAGGAGCCCAAGAGAGAAGCCAGCATTTGAGCAGGTCTCCGAGTAAAGCAGGAGTAAGGAGCATGCAGTTGTAGTATGGAGGGATCACTAAGGTTGAACATCTGGTGAACACCTAGCTTTATCAAAAAGCATAAGTGTTAAGCAGCAGGGTTAATTTATTTGGCACCCCATTAGATATACGAGCACTTCATCTTCCATGAGGAAGTGTAATATAGTCACTGCATAATTTCAGAGCATTTTATTAGACTCCAGTTCAGGTCTCCCTATCTGGCTAATGCCAAGTTAGCGCTGTGCCTGAGATTAAGCACCGTTACAGGGGCAGGACATTAGAGCAACCCACTTGTCACGACTCAACAGAATCCCTCAGCATAATCAGTACTCCAATGTTTCTGAAGTACTTTCCTTTTACAAGGAAGGCAACAGCAGCAACTTATCTGTATATATTTAAAAAAAGCACAACAAGTCTGGTGGTCTATAAAAAACAAGAAAAACAGTATCTAGAGATGAACTCTCTGGATTCTGGAATTATATGGGTAGATTAAGAATAGCAGTATTCTTAAAGCAAAACTTAGTATTTTCCCATAATCACAGAGCTTCTTTAAAAAAATAATAAAATTAAGAAGTACCTCAAGAAACACCTCTTACAAAATAGAGTCTCAAACTTTAAAGAATAAAAGGTTGCAGATGTTAAATCTTCCAAATGTACTGACTCAAGCCCACTGGGAGCATTTTACAGTTGAAAGCTTAACCCTGCACCCTAACCTAGTGCTCAGACCCTGGGAAGCCTAGGCCATTTTCCCCCAGCCCAGCACTCCATGACGTCCTCTAGGGACGGTTTGTTTATTAGTGCCTCGGTGCCACACCAGGTTTGCTCTGCTTCCTCTCCCCTTCCACGCTCTTGGTGTTTGCACAGCACGAGGGACCTCCCACACTAACAGCAGGTAGAGAAAGCATCTCATCACCTATGGCTCACGTACAGAGGGGGATAGGGGCAGGCAGGCAGGGGGATGGCACCTGCACAACACCAGCGCACTGGGGGACGCACCTCGGGGCAGGCTGAGTGAACGCTGCTCCGCGAGCGGTTGCGGCAGTGCCACTGATTTTC